TTGTCGCGAATTCCTCTCATTACTTTGCACCTTGCAGACCCCATTGACAAAGTCAGCGGCTTTTTTGGATACAACGTACTCGTTATGTAAGAGGATATGAAAATTCTCCGGGGAAGAATGAGCGGCCCACCGTTTTCTCTCGAATGCTGTTAAACGCTGTTTTAGGCTATCTGGAGTACTTTTAAAGCTCTGTAGGTTAATTTTAGGTTGCGCTGAAAAAATTTTATCTGTTCGGTCATTCTAAGGGAACTTGAATATTCTCCAATTTCTATAGGGCTTTTTTGTCCATTTCCTTTTTTCGGTACCCAAAACGACATTTTTGACAGTCCCAAAACAATAGGAAGTTCGAGGTGACAATTCTCTTAAGAAAATCAGAGGGGATTAAAGTCCTTCGGAACAGATAATTGACCGAAGCGATCCGTTGGGTGCGCCGGTGCCCGTGTACGAGCAACGGTTTTGTAGAATATAGAAACGAAGAGTAAGCTTATTTCTGTTGCTCCTGGATAAAATGCAACAGATATAATAATCGCACATGATATCCCCTAGCAACCAAATCCTTAATTTCAGTTCCCCTTTTCGCAAGATCTCACAAGCTTTTAAGCAGAAAAAATAATTTTGACAAAATGTTCGGTTCGGAAAACTATTCGAGAAATTGACTTACTAGAAACCAAAAGTTTATGTTAAAAAGCTTATTCCGTAAAAAGAGAAAGAAAAAAGCCCTTCCATGAGTAATTTATCTTTTAAATAGCCGCCAGGACTAGAAAAGGTGTTTGAAGTAAAAGATAAACTGGAAGTCGTATAAGGTCCTATATTCCTATATTCGTAATCTTCAGCTCTCCAAACACCATGCAGAAAAATTCCCTGAGAGCCTACAGCAGATGCAGACAACTGTTTCTGCCTTCTTACAACAGCTTGTACTCAGCCATGTTCCATTCTCGTCCACATTGTTACTCGTTTTAAAACCAAAAGAAATGGAGACTCTGACGAAAATGGGCATGTTTCAACTGAAGAGCGCAGCGGAGCTAAGAGCGTATGCGTAGTGACACTGAGGTCTGCATCTCCACACATCACATTCTCGAATAAGTTAATAAGGAAAAAGAATACCATCAGCCATTAAACAACCGAAAATTTAACCATCAACCCTCAAAACCCTATATTGCCCCCCATTGAGATCCTTTGTAAAGGCCGTCAAATATACTTGATAACTTTTCAGTTTTCTCTTGCATTTTGAGTAGCATGTAAACAAGATGATCGTTTATCGAAGGACTGTTTGGGTGTACTGTATCATTTGATACTAACTTTGCGCGTTTATGTGACGGTGTACATAAAGTAAAAGCGACCGCTTCCAGCATATCCCTCCTCTTTTATTCTCAAACTATGGTTCACTCCGAAGTCAATTACAGTCAAACCTGTATTAGGCGGACCGTGCTAGTGTCCGCTTAGTAATGTAGGGTGTCCGTTGAGTTCAGAATTCGTCGTAAGAGGGTCATTTTAAATTCTCGAGGCGGTTTCATTTCCATTCGAAAACCAGAGCGATGTAACCTTGGAAATGTAAAGAACCTTAGTCCGCATCCACCATTTTCGATGCCATAGAAGTGATTGATATTGCATGTTGAAGCGAAATCTTATTGCTTTACTGTAAGTTGTGTTCCTGAAAGTGTGTTCAATTATCTTTAGTAGTTTCACAGTGATTTCCTTCGTTTCGACAGACTCTGAATATAATATAATAGCCAAACTCTCGCATGTACCTGAAAAACAAAGGTGTGGCTGACTAGGGCCCTTTAATTTCAGGCTCAAACGGCAAACAAAAAAGAAATTAGACGATCTTAGAAGAAACGAGTGTATCATGATAAAGTCAGATTTTTTTTGGAAAACACCCAACAGGAAATAGCGGTAATTGACATCCGGGAACAAGTGTAATATAGATAACGAATTATTTGTAATCGAATTCTTGCAGGTTCGAACACAACACGCAACGCAAAAATGGCGTTAAGGATGAGATGAGGAGTGGGGATGTGCCACACCTTTATCTCGTGTCTCATCCCGTCTCAATACGCCAGTTAAAAACTAAGTGAATGCAGATTCTTAACAACCTAATGATTGACTATTTGAGTTGGAACTCAACTAGCAATGGATATGTTTAGGGCATGAACGCACGGTCGGCTGTCCAGGCAGCTGGTCATAAACTTTGCGCAGACCAACTACGTTATATTTTTAGCGGAGCTCCGGCAGCCCGAAGGCCACCAAGTGGATCCCTATACTCATAAAGGAAAGAAAAGGAAACCCATGAATTGATTTTCTCATGGTTGTCATGGCTA